ACAATATTATGTACTACCTGTCTAGGGATCCGTGATCTCAGACACTCTTCACTTAAGTTCGAAATATATTTTCGAATTTTACTTTTTATTATTAAAATTTTACAATCAACAATTTTGCGACCACAGTGGGAGAAAGACAAAATTGTTGATCCTACGTCTAACGAAAATTTCATACAACTCCAATATGGTCGATTTGTTGCAAGGAACTTCGTGACAGGTTCTCAATCTAAAAGCCTCAGCACAACCATCGGGGCCACCACGACAACGCCACCATCAATCCCCACTACGGGAGTCGTCTCCTAAATACCATCTGAATGGTTAAATCATGTTTAACAAATGAACAATCAGCAAACAACAACTATGTAAATAATGTTGCACAAGCAACAAAACTTGATACATAACATGCCCCCTCAAGAGTTACACTTTATTACGTGCCTTCACCTCCAGAAATGTCTCCGTCGCGCCTTCAGACAAATTTCGCAGGGCCGTCGTTCGTAGATAACACCATTCCAAGTGCTACGGCCCCTAGTAGGGTAGAGAGAGGAAAAACTCCCATCATTTTTCCAAATAATATCCCTCTAGGGACTCGGCATGAGCTGTTTCAACAGAGGGATGGTCGACCGGGAGAGAGGGATGACCGACCTGGAGATCATCCTTATGATCTCATTCCGGCTCCAGATCATTATTCATTCAAGTTGGACCCAGATGACGTCGCACACGTCCTGAGGGTCCATTTCGGTATGACTCCATAGTTACCAATAGGTTCGCATATCAACAGTCATTCCCTGAGAGGATCATCAATAAGCATTCTCGTCCCAGGAATTATCGACCACCCAACTTCTACACATTCTCGGGGGAGGATGGTTCTTCTACTATTGAGCATATGGGACGCTTCACGGCCTAGGTGGGGAAAATCGATAACAATCCATTTCATAGATTGCTGTTGTTCGATCTATCTCTGACCAAGACGGCTTTTTCTTGGTTTGTTAACCTGCCGTTTGGGCAAATACACACATGGAAATGATTGGAGACAATATTTCAAGCTAGGTTCTTCAATTTTGTTCCAATGGTGTCTCTAATTGATTTATTGGAAATAAGACAGATGCCAGAAGAATCTGCTGCTAAATTTATAGAAATGATTCGTTGGATGAAGGGTAGATGTCCGACTACGATAGAGGAAAAAGAGATGACCGATCTTGTGGTCCGAAACATGCATAGACGGCTACGAGAGGCACTAACCGCTCATGAGGTAGAAGATCTGGCTAGTCTAGCGTCTAAATCTGAGCGTTTAGAGTAATTGTTTAGGGAAAAAGATCAGAATTTTTGACGTCACAATGGTCAACAGATGACTAGCATGAAAGTAGAAACATACATATCAAAGACCGATCCAATGGTCGAAGCAGAAGAAATTGAGGCTGAGATAATCAATAGGAAACCATACGTTTGCCCAAAATTGAAGCCTATCCCGGAAAAAGAAGAGAAAGATCAACTGACTTTTGACAGTACCAAAGCAGACGAGATTTTTGACATCTTCCTAGCGGATGGGCACATTCGGATTCCTAAAGGACAACGATTGAAAACAAAAGAGGAAATTAAGGGGAGACTTTACTGCAAATGACATAACTTCTTCACCCACAGTACAAGTCAGTGTACACATTTCAGGAAGGAGATTCAAAGGGCTATCAAAGTTGGCCGCTTTAAATATGTCATCCTAGGGGTAAAACAACATCCGTTTCCCAAGGTAACAATAGCTACAATCGAAGTTGCTCCTAATAAAGAATTACAAATGAAGGCAGGTCAGGATGAAAAAGAAAATGGAAAAATTTGGATTTGCATTGATTTTCGTGATCTCAATCTAGAGACTCCTAAAAATGAGTACATCATGTCTGTGGCCGACATGTTGATTGATTCAGCCGTAAGACATCGAATTCTTACTCTGATGGACTGATATGCTAATGATAATCAAATTTTTATGGCAGATGAGGACATCCCCAAAACAGCCTTAGATGCCTAGGGGCATTAGGGACATACGAGTGAACGGTCATGCCTTTTGCAGGGGTAACATACCAACGGGCAATGAATACTATTTTCCACGATCTCATTGGTGAATTTATGGAAGTCTATATTGATGACGTGATCATTAAGTCGGCTGATTTCGAAAGTCATTTGAAAAATCGGAGGCTGAGACGGGCCGATTACTTGGATCACTGAAAGGTCGGTTTAGAGTTTGGTGATCCGTTCCATCAGTCGGTGCAAAACTGGAGTAGCCGCCGACTCGGTGGATGCTGAATCAACAAATCAATCATGACTTAAACCAGAACTTGAAGATCTTCAGGCTTCAAGTCAGCAAAGGGCAGGTTGCACATTGGGTCACGACCGATCGGGCAGTTGCTGGAACTGGAACTCGGGAGATGAATGAGAGATCGAGATTATGCTGCCAAATGGAAATACTAATTTTAAATTCGGAATATCAACAAGAAATTTGAGAAGTATGTGGAGTTGTCTACCTGACCATGGACGGCGGTCGCCTCGGAATGAGCCAACATTGGGGGAAGTCGGTTGGCCTCACATAGGAAGAATTAAAGACAGTCGTCCGACAAAAAATCGGTTGGCCTCAGGATATGTCTATCGGACTCCTCTCAAACGGGAAGTCGGTTGGCCTTAGGAGAGTCGGCCGCTGGAGGGTCAGCCGCTGGTTGGCTGGCTTTGGAAGGGCCATCCGCTAGGGGACCCAAAGATGGAGCCCAACCGCCAAAGGATTTGTGGCCAGAAGGTCGGTTGTTGGCAGGTCGGTTGGTGGTTGCTCAGGAGAAGCCGGTAGTGTGGTCGGGCAAGATAGCTAGGAATACCTTGTCGACAATCAAATTGACGAGCAAGAAAATAAGATTGGCAGTTAAAGACTCTCAATTGTTGTTGCAGACTCCCAACCATCACTTGCGCCGATCGAGAGTGACGTTTAAGAGTCAGATGAGGAAAAGGCAAGTTGTTAGCCTAAAATAAGGTTAGAGTTTGAATCCAGGAAGGATGAATGGATGAGCGAAGTTGTGAGCCAGACTCATTTGGTTGGAATAGTTGTTGGGGTCCAACCGATCGGACGGATGGCCCTGCAGACAATATATTCATCTGAATGTGGGCCTTGGGACGGTTGGTCGGTTGGTTACAAAAGTTACCGACGTAAAAATGGTTTTGGTGGAATGATTGATCGGTTGGTCATAAAGGTTACTGATGTGGAAACAATTTTGGACGGTTCGGATTGGTAACCGACGTGGAAGCAGTTTTTGGACAGTTCAGATTGGTAACTAACGAAAAAGCAATTTCAGACGGTTCAAATCGGTTACCGACGAGGAAGTTGTTTTGGACGGTTTGTAACCGATGTGGAAGCAATTTTTTTACGGTTCAAATTTATAACCGACATGGAAGCAGTTTTTTACGGTTCAAAAGTAAATGACGTGGAAGCCGTTTTTTAAGCGGTTCCAAGGTAACCGACATGAAAGTGGTTCTGGACTGTTTAGTTTGATACGTATATAAGCAGCCTCGGCGATAGAGAGCGAACATCTTCAATCAGACAAAATTCCAAGCGAATCTCATTAGGGAATCATGTTATGTACTGCTTGTCTAGGGATCCGTGATCTCAGACACTCTTCGCTCAAGTTCGAAATATATTTTCGAATTTTACATTTTATTATTGAAATTTTACCATCAACACCTATTTTAGTAAAAATAATCATACACCAATATCAAAATATTATTTAATTTTTACCTAAATTACAAATATATCATTACACATACAGTTACTTTTTACGTAAAGTTAAAAGACAAAAATGTCGAAGTCTCTTACACACTTCCAATAATTAATAAAATACTAATATTTCTTAATTTACTAAAACCCGGTGAAGTAATGTTAACTATATATATTCATAAAATACAGCTTAAAAATACAACTATTAAATACTACTCCCTCCGTCCATTAAAATTAGTTCGGGGTCGGTCCGGGAATTAAGAAAAATGAATATTTTATTGAAAAAGCGATAGGTAGTTTGAAGTATTTTTGAGAATTTAGTTTAAAAGTAAAATAAATAGAGAGAGAGAATGTAATAGAGTTAGTGATATTTGTTGTAAATAAGTGTTGAATGGAGGGTAATAATTAAATATTAATTTGTTAATTTTGCCAAAATTAATAATAAGATAAATTTAATGAACAAACTAAAAAGAAAAATAAAAATAAATTTGACGGACAAAAAGAATATGTTAAAATATACACATTTAATTATTTTAGTTTGTTTATAAAAAAAATATGATCAAATCATATTTAGTAATATATATATATATATATTACTTTTAGATCAATACTCTTATATTTCTTACACTAATTATACTTTAATAAAAATAAATATATTAATTATATAAATTTCTATTTTACTCTTATAAAAAATAAAAAGTAATACTGTTAAAATATTTCCACCGTCCCAAATATGATAGGACATTTGACTAGATTCAAAGGGATAGTAAAAATAAAATAATTTAAAAATTAAATGATGTAATAAAAAAATATATATATTTACTTTTTTTCTTTTTTTAGTGAGGTAAAGATTAAACATGATAAACTGTATTCTACTTTAAAAATATTACAAGGTGTTTGTGATGTAAAAAAAAAAATATTGCAGGATATTTGAACGGAATAGTATTTTTCATAATCTTGTGCCCAAAAAAATTGAGCATAAATTTATAATATAGATGAAGTATAATTCTGTCAAATTGAAATAGTATGTTTCTCTCAAATGATCACTTATTAGATCTGCTTTATATAGTATGCAAAATTTAAGTCAATTAATAATATGAAATTATTAGACCCCATCAACATGGTGCATTTTGAACACTCAAATCAAGCATATTCTTTAGAACCAAAAAGCAAAAAATTAGTGTTCAAAATCTATATATACAGCCAAGCATAAACTATTTCTCAAAACTAATTGGTAGCAGATTCTAAGTACACTAATCAATGAATAAAAGTTGAATTAGGCTTTGCTTACCTTACCAGAGCATATATTTTATTTCATAGCAGTCCACATATAAAAATCTCAATCAATCTGACAAGCACAACAAAATCTCAGGGAAAACAAATAGTAACACATCAACACAACACAACACAACACAACCAACCAACATAGCAGCAGCATGTATTTATGATGTATTATGTATATACAGTAAAATAACAACAATATAATACCCAGCCACCTTACGATCGATCATCCATTGCCCGTGGGGGACGCAAACTCGCTACTTTGTCCACCAGTAAATTAAAATTAGAAATGTGCAGACTGATGCCACCAAGGAGAGTATGATCGTATCCATGGACTTTTTCTTTTTTATGGCAGACAGAATGTGATTCACCTGCAAAAAAATTTGAGGAAATTGTTCGGTAGGTAGGTAGCAATCCATAAATTCTGAATTACTACAAGTTATATGCATTCCATATATTTTTACTTACAGTAGGAAGCCGGCTGCTGACGTTGCTAAGCTTTGAATTGATGCCCCCAAAGGTTGATCGTTGGAACACAAGAGATTTTATGGTCTCCTGTGCTTGTGATATCACAGACTCCATCTACATGACAACAAACATTTCCCAAGTTAAGTATATATCTAAAACATTTGAAAGAAGAAACCAATCACCAATGAACCGGTGAGCAATAATTTTGCCATGAAAATTTACGAAAAATATGATAGGAAGCAAGGCCTGGTAGTGACGGGCTTAGGCTCGCTTTCGCAAGCTTGGGCTTTTATTTATCACTCTTTTTAATATTATTTAATTGGGAATTTAATTTTGGACTTTTATTGGTTTGAGTTGGGTTTATTTAAGTTTAATGGACTTATTTTAATTGTAATAAGTAGGATTTAAGTAATAGTATTTAAGAAGTAGCTAGGGTTTGAGACTGTCATTTCAGATTTCGGAAATAAAGTAGCCTGAGGACTTATGGACAAACGGTAGATGGCATTTGATTGTTCTTGGAAAACGATTGATATCTTTTGATTCTTCTTATTTTTATCTTGTTTCTATCAAAATACCTTCAAAATTATGCTAAAAGCTTGCAAACACTATATTTATGATTGCACTAAAAAAGCACAGTTAAAAGTTTTTTAAATGGAGTGTGCTTACAACTTACTGCTATATAAGCTGTTACTTTTTTAAGAGAAGTAGGAATTTATATAAATGGAAGGGATACAAGATAACAGAGAGTTCATAACATTAGCTGTTATGAAGCAAAAACATATCTGATGCTAAAGACAATTAGGCAGCAAAAAGGAAATAAAGGAATTTCATCCCGTCCCAAGCTAAAAGGCCAAATAAAAAATTCAAATCGTAGATAATCCTAAAACAACTCTAGGCACTTACCTCTAGCAAATTATTTAACTCTAATATTAGTTTTCCTAACATAAGCTCCCTACACATGTAAACCACACCACCCACTATGATTTTTAATGTTGAAGAATATATATATATATATATATACATATGCATGTTACACATTAACTTTATAATTCAGCCATGCTAAAAAATGATTATTCACATCCAGGTTCCTCACTGAGAGCTTTCATAGAACTGTACTTGTGGAGGTCAAGCTTTTTCACTCCATCTGCTAGCCCAGTCGATGAGAATTGTTTTATCAGATGTAAAACATCATAAAGCATTCTTCTTTCCCTGTTCTAAAACAGGGTTTGCGATCATGCGTTGGGCAACTCTCTCCTATATCTGTTGACTCTTGCTTATTTATTTATTAATTTGCCTGAGGGCAAGATGCATATATATATATATACACACACACACACACGATTCTAATGTTGTGCAGGAAATTATATCTCTGAGGCGCATATCTACTCATTTAACTGTCCTTAAAAATTCTTCAATATAACAAACCAGACAAGAGGTTATTTACCTGGGCAGAACTTCTGTGCAGGGTAGCGCGCTCCTTAAGAAGAGATTGATCGTAAGAACCACCACCATCTTCAAGGTCTAGCCTTGTTCGGTCAAACTCCCTGAAGTCCTCAAGCAGTGATGCATGCTCTTTTTTGGCTCTATGACTGGAATGGAGTTGTTTAAATTCCTACAACCCAAAAATTAACACCCGAGTATGATATATCAAGCTAAGTATGAAAACCTTTCTGATTAATAGTGAATAAACACCAGATGCATGCCATCCAAAAGAAAACCATGACCAAACAAATAACAGGCGGTACACTTTTGAACTCTAAAAATATTGAAAATGAACATGATATCACCTAAGGCACAAAGATTGCAGCCTAAAAGCAACTTGAAAAGGGAAGGTCCGAATTATTAAACTTATCCACAGTTTATTTAGATGTGCTTTCTATCTTCAGCTAATACCACAATAAGCATGAATATAAGAGATATTATTCTTCTTAAGTAACGCCGTTCTCATTGTTTACATGCATATCAACCATTGTGCACAAAAATGTAACAATCCTTTCTTGAACAAAACATTTGAACTGCCTCTAAATTAAAGTTCTTTAGCCAGTCAAGCGCCAAATTATCATTAACCTGAGTAAGATCCTGAAGAATTTCTTGATGCCGTGTTAACGTATGAGAAAAGATTTCTGATCCTCCAGATGAAACCCATGCTTGCATTTGAGTATTTACTTGTTGTAGCTGCTTCAAAAGCTGATCAATTCCTGATTCGATATCATTGTCGCTAAAATTGTCAACTTTTGTCGATACCAACTTTCGGTATAAATGCATCTGCTCATCCAGCTGGGCTTCAAGTTTCCTTGCCTATACAGACAAAAAGGCCATAGCAACTGTCAGGCCACAAACAAAACGGTAAATTGATGAAAAAGCACACGCATTAGGCCATTTTACAGCATTAGTGTAGGTTCAGTATCACTTGTTAGAATAATGTCCCTGAATTTCCTTAACGAGAAAGTTTTTGTTAGACTTCGTAGAAGCGATTAAAATTGGGGAAGGAAAAACATGAATGTAAAAACTTGACATAGAAACCAATTATTTGGACAGAAATCGACCTAGAACAAGATCGCTTTTACAGTAGGAGGGGTAAAACGCATAATCATCGCGTGGTTCCAGAACAAATCCCTAAAATTATGACGGCTTTTGGAATTCTGATTGATGAAGATCTAATCCAGCGTATATCGAAAAATTGGCAGCGGATCTCAAGAATAAAACGAAAGGTGTGGAGCAAGAAATAAATCAAGCAACAGGATTTCGAGTCTCGGTTATCATCATTTCGTTATCAACACCAAAAAAAAAAAAAAAAAAAAAAAATTAAAAAGGATGGATATAGGATAGACAAAAATCGAAGCGCACACCTGTTTGCGCAAGGAATCCCAAGAGCTATGAGGATCCATTCCTCTCCGAGACGAACGGATGGCAGTCAATTCGGATCTGCGTAATCTTGTGTCGATGAATGGGTAAACAATTGCGGAAGGGAGACGGAACTGTTTTGTTTGACAATTATAGGGAAATGGGGGCGAGTGGCGGTGCTGCTTCTGAAGCTGCCATCGGATTCAGAATGCGCAAGAAACGAATGATTGATTGATTCATAGATTCATCAATTCATTCATTCGGTCGTCGTCGTCGTCCTCTGCATCTGATCGGACATGGTGGATGGTTGCACTTGGTCCAATCCAACCTCCGTCGGTCGGTCGGTATTATGATTATGATTATGAGTATGTGACATTTTGGTTTGGGAGACCTCTTTTTCAGCTTCCTACGCTCATGTCAATGACCAACCGCACGCTCTCACTCTCCACCTTATTATTATTATTAATTATATAATTAATTATTATTATTATTAGGATTATTATTAGTTATTATCATTATTTTTCTATCTTGCCCATAAATTAATTTTATACTCCATCCGTACCAAAAACAATAGTTACATTTTGGCTTTTAGTTCATCCAAAAATAATAGTTCAATTTTCATTTTAGTATCCAATTCATATATTTTTACCAAACTATCCTCTATTTAAAAATATTTTGATTTCTTAAAAATATATCTACCTTCACTATCAATATAATATTATTATTATTTATTTATTGTATTTATCTCAAATATTCTTGTTATTTTTCTAAAGATACATTTTAATTATTATTTTAATTTTCTAATTTATATATTTTTTAAAATTAATTAAACTAATTATTTATTTTATTTATAATCTTACACGAAAAAAAAAATTAGTTAATTATTATCATGAGATATATTGTAATAAATAATAAAGGATGTGTTTATATATATATTTAAAAAATTGGCATTATTAATAATTACATATGATATTATTTTTGTTTTAATTTGTTTAGCAACAAATGATACATTTTTATATTGGATAACTTTTATTAATTCAATACATTCTTAACAAATATAAATTAATTTAATTAACTTTATAATCAACTCAAAACACCTTTATTTTTATTTCTCTTTATAGTTATTTATTTGTATTATATAAGATATAATCCCTCAGTCCTACATACTATGTTTTCGTTTCTATTTGTTCTACATTCCATATCACTTTTTAATCTCATTTTAAACTTTTTAATTTATTTTTTTAATTTTAATTAAACTAATTAGTTATCTTAATCTTCATTTATAATTATTTATATTATAAAATAATTATTTTCACTGACACATTCTCGATTATCTATTAATTACACCCGACACGATATATAGGACGGATGGAGTAATTCTTTTAAATATTTAAATTAATTTTTGAAATTTCTTTTAATTATATATTATTTTAAAATTACTAACAACATTATTTGTATAATAAACAATAAATTAATATCATATCCTACTGTTAAATAATAACATGCCAAAAGCAAATTTCCACCTTAAAAGAGCATTTCATTTTCTTTTTAAGATTAGTGCTGATGTGTAACTTCCAAAAGTGTGCATGAATAAGGAAATGAAAATTCTCACCGTGGTAGCAAGAACAGAGGAAATAAAGTGAAAAATATATAAACAAAAGAATCTATCACTGAATCTTGACTAGCAAAGAAAGGCCAAGCCTAATAAGAAGCAGACTATAGTATTATAACATATGTAAGTTCAAAGCAGATTGGCTGCCCTAAATATTTCTTGCAGGTTTCATAGTAAGTTAGCATAATCATCGACAACATTCGCACAACAAAACAAACAGACAAATACACTACCACAGTTAACTAAGAAGCATGTTCGTTTCGATCTTTTCTCTATCTTCTTTGTCTTACAGCAACTCAAAACACCTTACTATATATCACACAATTTTCACCCCATACTGTTACCTCCATTTTTACGGTCCACAGATTCGCCTAGAGAAAGAATTTGGTTTATCTTTTGATTTATTGCTTCGAGTCCGCCAAGATTTTTACTCAATATTGAAACTGCATTTTCAGCTGAATATTCACTGTCGTCCACAATGATTTTGTGTATCTGCAGATATGGAAAACATATTACAATCTCCTCTGTACAATTGTACACGAACGTTACTTGGAACGAGCACATTCGAATGGAAAGAGCCAACCTTGCAACATATCAAATTTATGAGCATTTAAACTTACCTCATTGTAAAGTTCGCCTACATTTAAGCGATCTGAGTTTTGATCGGAAGCAATCTTCAAACCTTCTTCAGTAGCTGCATCGGGAAAATAACAATTATGTATAATATTAACAAAATCGTAATAACTCAAACAAATAAACCCATTTTAGGAGTTGGCATGGGATCAGAAGAGAGGCAGATTGATCGTCTGATCTGATTGGCTTGGGAAGATACAATTTTAATTCCATAAATTACACTCATTATTTTGATTGTTTAAAAGTAGATTTTGTCTGAAAATGATCTTGCATCCCATTTTTAGAAAATTTAATGATCCTAATGATGCAATGTGGCATTTAAGCATGCATTGTAGACCTTCCACATGCTCTAATGATCGCAATTATGAGTATAATACTTATGCATGCATTATAGACCATCTAGCTTTACTTTGAATAAGCTTAAGTGAAAGTCATGCACAAAATTAAGCAGTTTGACTGATGGCGAACAAGATACGAGATTATTTTCAAATAAGGTCCATTCAAAAGACCAAAATGAGTACTTTCTCCCAAAGCTCTTTCGTCTCAATCTTGATTCATAAGCACTGTACTTTGTCGATTTACTTGAGATTTAAAAATTATAAAGTAACTCATCAATCAATTTCACTACCCTCAAAATGCAATAAGTGTGCCAATTAGTCCCCACCAAAACTTTCCAAAAAAAAGTGAATACACTTACTAATTGGTTCAACTTGAGGCAATTGATCAATCTTTTGGGTATAGGATGCCTCAGAGGTTGGATATTTCAGCTCTGTAGCATTGTGTCCTCCCTCATCACGTGCAGCATTGGAAGTCTGTTTATCAGCCTGAAACAATAATATAGTTAGGAGAGGACTATGCATGATCTGAGAGAATTACTTTCAATGAAGTAAATACAATGTCAACAAAATTAAACCAACTCAAGAAAGACCTGCACCCAATACAAAAACTAAACAATTTTCAGCCGCTTCTGCAACACATAACACATTAAAATTCACCAGAATAATATTTTGTCTTTATAATAACTTACAAAGTATTCTTTCTGCAGTTCCAGATGCAGCCCTCTCTCCAAAAGCAGCACTCTTCTCTTGATAAACTCTACCTGTCTTCGCTGAATCTCCCTAAAATGATATGTGGATAGATCTGGAGAAAGTAGCGTCCGAGCTCCTGTATCAGTAGCTCCATGTGCAACATCACCTGCTGCCCTCTTTGTTTGATTTCCAGGATTTTCAGAATGTTCAGAACCCACCCCATTTTGTGACTGAGTAACTCCGGTAGGACCACAGTTTTGAGAAGCTTCAGAACCTGAACCTTGTGCTACAGATGTTCCAGGAGGATGCGACTGCAGTTGAGAAACTCCAGTGGTGTGTTGTCGCGCTTGATAAGTTCCAGGAGGATTGGTATACACTTCAGAAGGTTCTAAAACAGGTGTATTGGCAAGAGGAAGGTTCAGCTCTTGACAGAGGACTCCTTGGAGTCTCAAGTCTCTGTCGTCAACAATCTGTTGCCATCGTCCATAGCCATGTCTTGGTGTATAGAAGGAAAAGTTAATTAGTTTATAACTTATAAATTTATGTGAAAGAATAAAAATATGACTTATCAGTGAAGTAACATACTCTTGTCACCCACTCTTATCATACTATCTAAAATAGTACCAAAATCAGACTTTTAGTTAACAGGTTCTTTAGGTTTCTTTTTAGTTTTTTTACCATTTGGACTTGTTCTCAGAAAAAATACACTTTTTATTCTTAGAATCAAACCAAACATTATCTAAATCAAAAGCCCAAATCTTCGAACTTCAACGAAATACACCCCAGATTACCTAGGAGTGATCTACCATTTCCAGACAGCTGCTGTTAGCAACTTAGAACTTAAAGCTAAAACGGCAGTTTCATAATTCTATCATATTATTGTAACTTATAGCTCCATCATCTAATTCCACAAAATACCCTCTTTTTTTTTATCATCCCCTTTAAAGGTAATATTATTATATTTGATTTTCCTTGGATGAAAAACTTATGATCAACAACTGATTGGAGGAAGAGGAAAAAGATGTATACTTCATCACGGCTTTCAGCAGCAATCGGTCATGGTGTTCCTTCCAAACTCTCCCTCCTTTTAGTGCGGGGAAACGGAATAAGATGTCATCTTTGAACAGGGCAGAGTTCTCTGATAAAGCTTTCACCTGTCAATAGAGTATGAATGATCAATAGACTTCGAACATTACAATCAACCAGTAATTGAATTGTAAGATCTTCACAACAACATTATGTGAACAAAAGTGCATCTTCATGTTTTAAGACCTACAAAAGCAATCTACGAAGAATACACTTGTAACTAAAGGATATGTCAAGTACAAAACTAGTCCAAGAAAGATTGCATGAACTTTAATCTGTATATATTTACACAAGGAAACGAGTGTTATATATGGTCATGGAACACATTAGCATAAAATTCTAAAAGTGCAGTCAGGAGGTCTTTCAATCCTTTATAGCAGGTTATTTCATTAAATTTTATGCTTCATACATAAGATACCATACCTCTTGACTGACAATTAACCTGATTCATTAAGGTATAAGTCAGATTGGTTTGTATTTGCGTTTTGTAGTTAAATAGTGGTTGGAAGTGATATTTTGTGAGGCAATAGTGTGTCTTCATAGGAAATTGAGGGATTCCACAGAAAAGAAACTACAAAAAAAATAAATAAATAAAAAATCTCAAAGAGAACAGAGGTCAGTTTTTGCAACATTGATAAATACTTTTGGACTCCAGATTTTGGGTATGCCTAGTTATGTTGCATGCACTCACAGAAATGTTCAAAAAACAGACTCAATATTAGACACCAGTAGCAAATGCATCTGTTAATCACAATTCGTTCCTTGTGATCAACCAAGTGAAGACACCAACGTTTTTGGATATTGAGTGAGGGAATTCAACATACTCAATCAGTTAAGCATGATATGCTAACATTCTCAGTTGAGTAAAGACAGCAAGGATTCTGGTTTATGGGAGAAAAATGTATATATTAAATTTAAGAGAACATCAAAACTTCAACCATTCACTTAAAATATAAGGAAGAAAACTCAATGCATGATAACTTTTGTTGAGATAAAACACTTACTTTGTCTCTAAAAAGAGAGAGTGTAGCTATTCTGACTAGTACATCATCGATTCTTAGTCCTTCTTTGGGTACCCCATCTGCAACCAGCACAGATTATATCAAACTTGATATGTTTTAAATGGAGAAATCAAAAGTACCAGATATTAAAGAGTCTTTTCTTGCAATGCCTGCAAAAGTGGATGAGTCATTCATATCTTCAGATATGTGCTTGAAGAAAAGTTCCCCATACCTACACAATGACAGAACAACACTAATCAGCATATGCACGTTTACATAATCCTAAAGTTCTCTTCAAAGAATGAACAGTGACCAACTATTATTCTGGAAGAAAGTTTGACCAACTATTACTAATGAATGAAATCCAAGAAAGCATGCTGATAATCAGAATTGACAAAACTAGAATCCGTCTGTTATCCTAATCTTATATAAATTTTCCTGTGTAAAAAATAGAATCTCTCTAACTATGCAGAAAATTAATACTGAATCTATTATGTCCATATCAAATCAGAACCGGGAAGTTTTCCTACAATAGATTATAGTTGTGTTTTCTTATAATCAAGGTTTTCACAGCGCCTGTTGACCAATATACTGCCATGGCGATAAAATAGCGAACACGGCCATACTGCCATGGCAATTAAATGGCGAACACGCCCATTCCACCATGGCGATTAAATTGGCGAACACAGCCAAACCACCATGGCAATAAAATGGCGAACACGGCTATACCGCCATGACGATAAAATGACAGACACGACACATGTATAGAAAATCTAATATGTTATATTATAAGAAATTAATGCCTATAATTAATTTTATAGTAACATGTTAAGAAAATACAAAATAACTAACAAAATAAAAGGTTGATTTAAAATTTTAAAATAAATAAATATACAATAAATAATAATATAATACATTAAATACTAATACAAATAGTATAAATAAATAAAATAGCACTATTGGAGCACTGAAGTAGATAAAAAATTAAAAAATACTGATTCTTAATCCATGGATAACAACACCATGGTGGGATGAAGCTGCTGTACAAAGCGGAGGACAATAGTGTCTAGACAAGGAGAGAACAGGGGTGAGAAGGGGAGGGAGAGGATGACAAGTTAGGTTAAATTGGATTCAAGGTTTTGAAGTTGATATTTATTCGGTTTTGGGGCTTGGGCTGGGCTGAAGACTTACAAGGCTTTGGGCTAGCCTGCCCAGTGCCATGGCATCGCCGTGGCGTCACAAAAGCATCGCCAAACCGCCTTCTTTAATAAGGCAAAGCGAAGAGTTGTGAGGCACCCCAAAAGACGCCAGGATGCCATGGCAGTGCTTATAATTGTAATAGTACTTTAACATAGAGCAAGCTACTTGTACAGAAAGATTATTGTGTTGGAAACAAGTTCATAATGTCCATGTTCAAGATGAAATTTGAAGCACAAGTTAAGCTGTTTTCACTTTTTTAGATGGAAAGAAAATAAATTTGGTATTCCACCATCCACAGAGTAACAAAGTTATCTTACTCGAGGCAGCCAAATTCCGAAAAACATATCACTAATTGAAGGAAAAATCATCTCACAGAAAACATAAAGAAACCTGCCTCAGCCAGTTTCAGCCTTTCACAAATGGAAGTCAGAAAACTCCAGGGTGATTGCACGCCACATAAAATCTACAGTGCCCTCTTATTAAGAAAAAGCTTAAATGTAACTTTCATTGGCTAAAAATGTTTGGTATGCAATTAGCAAAACCCATTCTGATACAGGGAAAACTCATATATAGTAGATTAAGCAAGGCAACAATCCAGAAGTTAGTCACCACTGGGTATAGCATCACTCCAATTAAAAATAAAGTAGGGCCTTCTCAGAGCTAGCATAGATACAAAACTAGCCACAGTAAAGATAGTTGCTAGGAAATTCAAAGTTACCAAGTTCAAAGTCACTATAGAGTCACAAACCAAGTCAACAATGTTACGAACCACACACATTCTCAATAAAGCTCCTCCAAGGAAAAGTTTGTGGTCATCAGGTCAAGTTCGTATTTTATATTTTATTATCTGATTGGGGTACATAGACAAAGATATATATATATAAAGAATGGTTGTTTTCTCATTTACCTATTTTCTCTAACAGGAAATTGCTGTTTACCAATGAAGAAAAAGTTAAAGGTGCCAGTTAAGTGAGCATACTTTAGCACATTTATTCAACCAACAATTCAAAAATAGATGGGAGGGAGAAATAAGACCAAGACCAATCACATACTTTCGAATTTCCTCATGAGTTTTTTGCTTTAAACGTGGCAAAAACTCTGACCAGTCATAATTCCCGGTGCCAAACCTGAGGGAACAGAACAATTACTTGCATCAGTGTACTAGGTAACAATATGACCTGCTCTTTAATCCAAAGATAATAGGAAGGAAGGGGGGTGGGGGGTGGGGAGGGGGGGGGGGGAAGGTAAAGCAAAGGGTGTTGTCAGTGTGAAAATAAGTACTAAAGAAATGTTACCTCATCAAAATTTGTACAAACAAAGCCCTTTGGCTTTGATTAAACCCCAAAACACGAAAGTGTCTTCCTTCACCCTCCATTAGAGGATGTTTCTCTGAATCCACTGGGGAATAAAAGATTGAAGAGACCAGGGTTAAAAGTAATTCCTCTAACATCATGGATCGTAAGCATCATAAGCGTTTACACCATACCACGAGCTCTTTTTCTGTAAGGTCTTCGGCCAACTACAGCTTCAACTGAAGCCGTTTCATTGTCAGTTACGTAAGCTTCATCATCATCATCCTCATCTTCCCGACCAGAACTTACATCTTCCAAACCAGCAAGGTCATCTTCTTCAACAGCCACCATCTGCATATAAAACATATAGAAGATAATCACATAAGGAAATATATGATATGACAATTGTTTATCTCTTCTTCCATATACAACATCCAGGAAATTGGGGCATTTACATTCGAAATTACAGGAATCCAGATGAGAGGAAGAAGAGGCCTGAAGATAGGATATAACTATGTGGAATGAAATCATGAATTGCACATGCATAGTAGTAACAGCACAACTTCCACAAGGCACAACTACTAAAAAATGAAGCCTCATTCCAGACACGGCAGAAAGTTCTCATGTGAGAAGGCAATAAGGGAAGTATAGAAGACACCTCAGAATAATGTCAATTAAGAACCATACTTAAGACATACAACAAATAAGTTGTGGCTAATAACTGCAATGGACTCAAATAATTTTTCAACTTAGCCGTAAAAGAATTGGATGTACGAGGTTCAAGAAATTTTCAGCAAATATAATTATAGCACCACTTTGTAGAATAAGGAAATGATCCATGAAAAAAATATACGCATATAGTATTAAAATCTTGACTATATATATTATTTGATCACTGTAAAGAAGACATGTTCATAAGCATATACTATTCATATGACAACATAAGCTTCCACAATTTTAGTTCAGGGGAACTCTTGTTTGGGAGAGATCCATGAAAATTTTGGCAAATGGAGCTACAGCACCACTTTCAAGAAAAGGGAAAAAGCAATTTGTTAATTCAGGAATCTAGATCAACACAAAGTAAGATTAATGTCAGCATACTTTCATATCGATATACTTGCCAACAAAAACAAATGAACGAAATATGAAGGAAATTTTTTTAGGGTGTGTTTGTTTGGGAGTTAGGATTTTGAGTTGGGATTTGAATAGTAAAAAATTTGAATTGGAATAGTAGTATGATGTGATGTTTTGAATGTAAAAGTAATTTTTAGTATAATATAAAAAATGAAAAATAAGTATTTGATTTGATGGTTTTGGGGGAAAAAATTTGTGTGAATAGTGTAAATCTTTCCAAATCCTTCAAACAAACACACCCTTAAAATATCTAAGTTCTCCTCAAGATAGAGCATACATATCAATCACCCTAGACATATTAAAGACATGTCGATCTTTGATTTTCTAAAAAGAAGAGATGATACAAGAAAATATTATGGCTTGTCATATGGGTGAACGAAGTGCTACCTTTACAACTCAGTATGCACACTGGAACACATTAGACTGAAAGTATATTTAGCTCTATAATTGAACATCTCACTCAGTAGAGTTCATCACCACACCACACCACACAATATAAGCCTTGTAACAAATTTCTAATTTTGACTATCCTCACAAGTGGTAAGATTTTTTCCCCATTTTTGTTCTCTTTTCTGTACACGTTTTATCGTAAAACATGCAGAGTGGAAGATGACTAATTGATTACAAATGAGATCTTTGTTCTTATCCTTAACGAAATTCATTACATTATTGATACTTAACTAGGTCTTTTTATCACTTAAATACCACGATGAATGGAGGTATAATCAAAACACCAAGGTTGGAATGACATCTATTTGTCACTTCAACCAGGGTGCAAACTTTATTTAATGAAATTGCATGCAAATCTCTATATCGATTAGCTATCATGCCTGCTTAGCTCATACTAATAGATTTTTTTAACTGGTTACAACTACAAACTTCAATGAATTCAGGGTAAATCATTTCTATAGAAAACAATCATACCTGTTTGCGACTCCTCTTCCCCTTGCCCATAGCATTAAATTCCTCTACCTTATGAACTTCATACTTATCTTTCAAGAGATCTTCCCAATAATTCGCCCTTTCATAATTGTTTACAGAAGCTTTACCCACATCCACTGCATCAATTGGATCCTCTTCTGTAGCCACTTCAGCTTCCTCAACATACTCAAAATTTGCTACCTGATGAATTAAAATAACTCAGCTTTCTATGGGAAAATAAAGGAACAGAAATTTTGTGTTGGAATATGTAAAATTGTCTACGAAACTAAAAAATTACCTTGTATTCATAAGGAAAATAGAAATCTATAAATAGGTATGACATATAGATTCGATAGGCTCAAATAATAACCTAACTTAATGGATAAGACAAAATCTAAAACTAAACAACTAAAATATCTCTAACATCCCTTCAAACTGAAGTGATGTCGCAAAACAACTTGAGTTTGCATAGAAATATCGAAGATGACATAGCCACGTCCACCGTGTCAAAAACAAAAGTGGTGCTCTCAACTAAATTAGAGTCAGAAAGAACTGGACTCTCAAGGAAGTCGGAAACAACATGACTCTCAATGGATTCAAAATCAATGAGACTCTCACCGGAGTCGGAAACAACGAGACGTTCAATGGAGTCGAAAACGATAAGACTCTAACAAAGTCAGAAATATAACTCTGGAGAAATATGGCAGTCATGTTGCAGACAAATATGCAGATATGACTCTCAGATTCAATTCAAATGCAAATAAATATGCGAACATATGAGTCTCAGCTTCAATTCAAACGTAGACAAAAAACTCTAAATGGAATCAAAATCAGAAAGACCAACAACAATAGGCAGAATTTCAAAATTGGGAAAACTCCAGGTGTATTCCAATTAAATGTACCCGGAGAAACATGAGTTGGTACATTGTATCAACTCCAAGAGAAAAATAAGTTCTGATACCTTGTAAAATTATTTTACGGAAACTCAAAAATTACCTTGTATGCATAATAAAAATATAGACATATAAATAGGCATGACATAAAAGACCCGATAGACTTGAACAATAACAACCTAATCTAGAACAACTAATAACTAAAATATTTCAACATAATATAATCCTCCCTCCGTCCCACATACCATGTTTACATTGTCGTTTCTGTCCGTCCCACATCCCATGTCATTTTCTTTTTTTTGGAGAATAATTACACACTTTAATCTCATTTTAAACATTTTAATTTAATTTTTTTTAATTTTAATTAAAGTAATTAGTTATCTTAATCTTAATTTATAATTATTTATATTATAGGATAATTATTTTCACTAATACATTCTTAATTATCTACTAATTATACTTATCCTAAATTCTCGTGTCTACAGTGACCCAGACATCCACCATGGATAAGAGGGAGTAACAAATAGAGAAAAGAAAAGAAATAAACAGATTTCATAATTAATTACAAGAAAACCAATAGAATGTCCAAAACATCAACAATTAATAGTTAGAAGTTATATTGGTGAATAATTCTACTGAAAGCTGCATTCATTATTTCGAACCCATCTTACCCTAACAAGAAATCCTTTTCAGTGCCTAGAAAAAATAAACTTAAATAAATGACTAACAACTTCTAAATGAAGATATGAGAAACCAGAATCCTCCATAATTATTGAAACTCTTCCGCTATGTCATCCTGGCTGAATATTCAATGGTAGGTACTTTCATTGAACAACGAGAGAACTCAAAGCACAAAAAACAAGACCCAGATATAAACTTAAATCAAGAAAATAAGATAATTAAATACCAAAATGAACATAGAAGCCTATGAGATATCATTCTACTCTACAGAGATTATTTGGAACTAGTAACATATAAGATATATATAGGGAGAGAGGGAGTAAAATAAAATAAACATGAACCTTAAAGGCTTTCAAAAACCCATTTTCTTCTTCATCATCCAATGAAGCCGCTTCATCCCCAATTTGCTCGCGATTGAGTAATCTACATATTGGCAACTCAAGGTTCACTTACAAATCAAAAAAAAAGAACCAAAAAAGGGATTGAATAAGATAATTTTTACCTATCAATTGCAGTGTCATCATAACGAATTTGACGGGATTTTATTGATTCATCATTGTCCTCTTCAAATAACTCCTTGGATCCATACCTTATGATGTCATCTAGTTCTTCCTGCATATAGAAAAAAGCATCTCAGAATAATTGAAATGAGTAAGTGTAATAAGGATCATAAAAGATCTATCCTAAAAAACTAAACGAATCAGAAGATAGCAGCAACACCAAAGAATCACTTTTATGTTGAAATTTTTTCTATCTAATTTTACGGGGGTATTATACAACACGGATATGGTATTTTCACGATCCTTAATGAATCAGAGGCCTTTGAAGCAAAGGCAATGATTAGGAGAATGGAATTGCACAAAATGAAACATCTCATGATCAAATTCTACATGCACAGCCAATAAATCCATTTCATAATCACGACACCTAACAAATACAAATAAACAAAAGATCAAGTTCTAATTCATACAAAACCACATACATCAGTGTTAAGTGTGACTAAATAAATAAAACAAATGTTCACTACGTCCCAATAATAATAATAATAATAATAATAATAATAATAATCATTGGCAGGGTTGAGATAAAATGGGTTGCAATATTTCTTTTACCCCTTATAAACACTATTACACCAAAGATACATTTATTTATAAAATTCCCCCCACCGAGTAGTTTATAATGTAAACATCTCCAATGAAACCATGAAAAACCGTGCATAGAAAAACTGCATACATATATATATATATATGGGGAGGAGAACAAGTAATAAGTAGTGAAATAGATCACTGTAGAAACATCATGCTTCAGCAGTTGACACCAAGTTAATCAAATAATACCATGTGCATTATGATGATTATGGGTTGAATAAGCTAACCATCAAATTTAACAGTTAAAATTATTTTTTTGAAGCCTTTTTACAAAAAATATTTACTATCAAACTAATATAATGAATCTTATTTTATGGAAGGGAATAACAGTAAGAAGACGAATAATAAAGAGCTAATCAAGGTTGTCACGGCGCCTATGAAGCGCCGTACCGCCATGGGCCATGGTGTCCGCCATGGCTATAAAATGGCAAACACGGCGCACATGTATAAAAACTTATATATATATATTATCTGTTATAAGAAATTAATGCCTATAATTATTAATTTTACTGTAACATGCCAAGAAAATACAAAATAACCAACAAATAAAAATAAATAACTAATTTGAAATTTTAAAATAAATAATCATGTAATACACTAAATACTAATACTAATAGTATAAATAAATAAATAAAGAATAGCACTACCAGAAACATAAAAAATAGTGGAGAAAAACTCCACTGTGGGATGATGCGGTTATTAGCGACTAGACCAGAAGAGAGGGGAAAGAAATGAGAAGGGGAGAGAGAGGATGACAAGTTAAGGGTTGGTTTCAAGGTTGATGTCAATTCGGTTTTGGGGTTTGGGTTGGGCTTTACAAGGCTCTGGGCTAGCCTTCCCAGTGCCATGGCATCACCCTGGCGTTGTTGTGGCATCACCACGGCATTGCCAAAGCATCTCCAAACAGCCTTCTTTAATAAGGCAAGGCGAAGAGTAGCGGCTCCCCCTAAAGGCGCTAGGATGCCATGGGCCATGGCGATGCCATGACACCATTGGAGCTAATCATAGAGCTATTATTATATCCATAATATGCTAAAAAGAAGATCAAAGAAATTTTCAACTCCATTTACCCTGCAAGTTATGGATAAAACTAAAGAATACTGGTTGCATCGTCCATGATTAAATCATCAAACCGTATATCCATAATATGATCCATAATCTATGACTTGTTCAAGAAAATTATAGCATATATTACAAAAGAACTTAAGGAACATGCTTGAATTCATGTTGAGGAAAAAAAAAAAAAACATTATGAACATGATTTGCTTTATATTTGCAGATATATATTATTTCTGGTTAAAAAACTGACCTGATTTAAGTTTTGTGCTTTGAGCCTTCCAACAACTAGATGCTCTAAAACCATTTTCTTCTTTGTCATTTGCATCATCCTTTCTTCAATGGTTCCTCGTGTTATGAGCCTGTAGATCATGACCTGTACATAGAATAAAGTGAAAAACTGTCAGTACTCAGTACCCAACCACAAACATGAAAATAATTCACATAAAGCTCTAGAGAAGTGCTACCTTGTTAGTTTGACCAAGTCGGTGTGCTCTTGCCATGGCCTGCAGATCTGCATGCGGATTCCAATCACTGAAAAATGAAATTAGCAAATTGAGCAGTCAATTTATACAGAAACACAAATTATTAAAATGTGCAAACCCAAGAGATAACTAATTGAATAGTATACTTGCCACTTCTCATTTCCAGAGAAAATTGTTGATATGTCAAATATGTACAATATCCATACGGAATATGCATATCACGTGGTGCTTTCAACTCTTCACAACATTATTATGGATGCATTTCCACAATTTATATATTATTTTATTTTTCATGTACAATTTATAATGAAAAATAAAAATAAATCACTCAAACAGCTGTCAATGGATGATCTTGCCCCCGGACACAAACATTTCAGAAAATTCCATAGTTGTCGATTTCAAAGAGGGTTAAAATCGCAGTCAACCTCTAAAATGCTATAACAGGATAGTAAATAACAGGATGACCGCTCACCGCTATTTGAAGAAGTTAAAAATATAACTACAAAAACTATAATACATATAAAATTACAATAAAATACATAAACTAATCTTATAATTATCATTCAAACTAATAAAATGTCAAAAAATATATATAATCTTAGCTCGTAGTTTGTAGATAGTTATATAAACAAAAACAATTAGATCACTATTACTCTTGTACATATAAGTCTCCTCTTTTTCATCTTCTGCTTCATCTATCTTCTTCATAAATTGTATACAAAAAGAAAATTCTTTCATTATATACACATAATACTCCAATGACGGGGATCTTATTTTTTGATGGAAAAGGTGGAGTACCACACTCCATTTAATATTTTACATTTTTTTATCTCTTATGGCCAAAAAATATTTATTTAATGAATAGACAAGCTTGTAAAAATTGGCTCCTACATCCGGAGGTGTATTAAAAATGTTGACCATAGAAAAGTATTCAGCTTCGAAATTTTTGTGCCCCCAGCAAGAACAGTCACTGAGAATGATGATAGGACTAACAGTCACCAATTATGAGTGTATTTTAATGTGCAAATTTATCTCTCCAGTTTAAATTGTTCTAGCTAAAACAATTGCCTGATCAACAAACCAAACACATACTTTCATATTATAAAATATGCTATTCTAATGTCAGTATTTCATAGCTTCATTAAGCACAATGCATCAAATACGGGGGGAGGGGGGATAACAAATGTGCTTTATAAACATAAATATTACCTATCATATATGATAACTGTGTCAGCAGTGGCAAGGTTTATTCCTAAACCTCCAGCCCTAGTTGATAGCAGAAAACAAAATCTGGAAGAATTCTTTGCATTGAACCGATCTATTCGAACCTGTCTTTCCGCCCCACCAACTTTTCCATCAATCCTTTCATAATGCCATTTCTGTGAAATATAGAGATGCATCATTGTAATTATTTATCTAGCACATACAGATTAAATTAAGTAAATAGGTTTCACTCATTCACACCCGATAATTGCAGTAATCTTCTAACAAGTCCAGCATATGCTGAAATTGAGAATATATTAGAACTCTGTGTCCCTGCTCTTTAAGTTTGATCATCATCTTATCCAAAAGTTGTAATTTTCCTGATGTTTCCAAAAGTTGCCTGAGATTTAAAAAAAGAAAAAAAGAAAAAAAAAGAAGGATAATAATAATTATTATTATAGTACCAATAAGACATCTTCACTTCAAGATCAAAAGCTATACAATCAAACTCCAAAAAACAAAGACAATAAGAAAGTTTGTATTCAATATGAAAGTTTTCATAGGAACAAAAGCAACAAATTCAAAAGAACCAGTGTCTGCCTGTTCACTCAAGAACATTCATGAGAAAATTTTCATGTTGGCATTAGTTCCATCTCTATCCCAACCAAGAAGATATAAAAAGATCAGGCTAAAATGCGAAAGTTACTTGTTGAACTCGTGAGTATCTTCTGGCTCGACACCTTCCAACATGAAGGGATGACAACAAAGCTTGCGCAGTTCCATCACCACATTTATGAGGGAAATCTATAAGAGGTTGCAACAAAGATTACAAAGATTATATTCTCATTATAAGTCAACACAGTAAAAGAAAAGCAACAAAAATGAATGAATAAGATAAGTCAAATATTCACACCTGGGCACCACCTTTGCGAGTTAGTATCTGATAATTACGAGTCAAAATTGCTTTGTAATACTCTTTCTGCTTGCTACTCAATTCAACACGCAGGATCAATTCTTTTTTCGGGGGCATTTCTTTCATGACATCTTTCTTCACTCCTGCAATTCAAAGTGAATAAATGTAATAATCTATATGGTTCAACCAAGCGGACTCATCACATGAGATGTCAAGAGGATATATCATGTTGCCAATATCATAGTCCCATGCAGAGACTAGAGTGAACTCAAAGATAACAAATCAAAAGGGATCCAGCTTTAAAAGGTGCTCAAGAGAAAGACAAGTAGAAACTGTTCAGTGTTCTCCTAAAAATAAAAACTATAACAGTAAGTGCATGCAAAACAGTCAATCAAAAAGGGACTCCCACAGAAGATGCAGAAACCATGCAGCGGTGGTGATGTCATTGTCTTAACAAATAGTAAAGTTACAATAATAGGACTCGTGTTAACTTGGCATAAATTATTACTCACAACATTAAAGGACTCAAAATACAAGATTAAGCTTCTGGGACATACTTCTCAACAGATGGGGAGCCAACAGCTTATGAAGCCTCTCTATTTGTTCCTCTTGATTGATATCCTTGAACTCCTCCTGAAAATCCTCCAAACTTCCAAACTGAAATATTGAAATCAGAAACAGATTGCATCATCATGGATATTCATAGCATTATTCATATCATGACAAAAATTAGTAACCATGCTGCAAAAAACTAACCTTCCCTGCATCAAGGAAATGCATAAGCATGAAAAGTTCATCCAAGTTGTTCTGCAATGCACCAAAGCAAAGTTAATTAAACACGATCAGAGAAAGGAAACTGGTTGAATAATTCGTGCATACTGCATATGCTTTACAGAGTGCATGTAGGACGAGGTATTCATTGAACTGAAGAATAAACAACATTGGACAGTCATTATTAAGCGATAACTAGCAGTCAGAGTATTGAGGGATTTATTACATAGTAAGACTGGAATTATTGCTAGCAATTAATATAGTTTCGTACACTTCACACCCAAAGTGCTTCACACAATGAAGCATCATAATGAGATATGACGATAGAATATAGACGAATATGAAAATACTAGCAGATGCAGACCATGTATTCCCCATCCTGTTTGCCACTCCACAATAATGTGCACCTTGTGAAACAAGCAAAGGCAGAATATAACAAAATTCTGATGCAAACTAACAACCAGATTCCAAGAATATTTAAGTTCAAGAATCTAAACAAGCTTCTGGTTTTTGTAATAAAATTGATGAAATTTTCATTAGCTCATCCAGGTACAAATTGGTACACTTAGTAATGCATTTCTTAGAATAGTCCCGGAGAGAAGTATTAGCAGATAAATTGACATGGGATGTGCCTCCTAGCAGCAAGTAAACATGTATAGAAGAAGTGAACACTTATGATAATTACTAAAACTAAATATATATATATATATATACATGAACATCAAGAAGCCTAATCTTGCTTTAATCTATTACACGTAAATTTGAACCAAGAGGGTAAGCTATCAAACAACACGTAAGCTTCCCATCAGACCATAATTAAGAAACATACCTGTAAAGGAGTTCCAGTCAAAAGAACTCTATGTCTGCTAGAATATTGCTTCAACGAAGAAAACAACTTCGAATCCTTATTTTTCAGACGATGCCCTTCATCAACGATCTAAATAAAGATATAACGCAAATTGTGAGCACAAGTATCACATGTACTTGAACATATCAGCACTCGAGGAAATATCAATTTACCATGCACTCCCATTTTATGGGTTTCAATGATGTTGAATCCATGTTGATCATTTCATAAGATGTCAAGAGGACATCAAATTTAATTCTAGACTGTTTGTCTTCACTAACAGATTGACTGGATTTTTTCTTTTTCTTCTTCTTTTGATTCTTGGGGTGGTAAAATTCATATTCTCGGATTATAGTACGTGCTTGGGCAGTACCAACATACATCACCTGCAGCAGTACGCCTTTATCAGGTACATATATGAGATGAAACAGGATTCATTCAGCATCCCCACTAGTTAATCTTAAGAAACCTGGAAATTTATAAAATACTTACAACATTCATGTGAGGAGCCCATGTGGCAAATTCACGTTCCCAATTCCTCAATGTTGAAAGAGGAGCTACTACAAGATGAGGATATAGCTTATCCTCAAAAAGTGATGCCAAAAAGGCAATACTTTGTATTGTTTTACCTGCAGTCATAAGCAAAGAATAAGTTACATATACAGATTTCTTATGTTATAACAAAAGAGAGAAGGAATGAAGATGAAAGAAAGTAAAACTGTTTAGACCAAACATGAGCATACCAAGGCCCATCTCATCTGCAAGTATCACATGTGTCTGCTTGGCCCAAGAATAACGTAAGAAATTCAACCCTTCAAGCTGATACGGATGTAGGGAACCTTGGGATAAATTAGAAAATGCCAGAGTTAAAAATAGACTGATCTTATAAAAGAGATAGGAAATACCCAGTCCAACAAGGTAGCACATATGACATACCTCCACAAAGAGAATCGGGTGTACTTTCGTAACGTTGAAACTCTTTCAGGTTCTTCTTGGACTCCAAGTCAACAGGAGTTTGGTTCTTTTGTGTTTTTGCTGATTTCTTCTTCCCCTGTGACTGAATTTTATGGAACTTCTCAATTTCTTTATGAAACGATGCAATGTCGGATTCCAACTCCCAATAGCATTCATCATAAGGAAGCTCTTTCCATTTCACAAGATATTCTTTTCCTTCTTCTAATTCCCTGTTATTTAATGATTTGCAAGCAAGTGACAATAGAAAAATATATAAATGCAATTAGAATATTGTAACCACAGATAGACATGTGATAATAAAGTGAATGTAAAATGTCAAGGCGGGGTGGTAAAACATTGAATATATTAAATATACATATGCATGAAACATTTGATCGTGTGATTTCATATATTAGGACAAAGGAAAGTAAAGTAAACTCTCGTCATATATCTATAGCCTGACGAGGCTTTGGCTGAAAAATGCTCTTGAGTTCTCAATCTATTTTACAGAAGATAAAGCCTAACCCCAATACTTGGTTATCCATGATGCCAAGAGACCAACTACTATAAATAATAATTAAGGGACTTATTTGCTAAATAACCCTAACAAAAGTAGAAACCAAAAATAATCATAACTAGAATAGTTAAACCTGCAAGCTATGATCCGGTCCACTGTAGTCCAATCTGGCCTGATAGGAACATATTCATCATCATGTTTATTTAATGAAGAAGCTTGTCTGTGAAAATTGTTTACTTTCGTTCGCAAACGAGGATTTGACTTGTATGCCTTAACAAACTCCGCCTCTGGGACCCTGAAACAATACATAAAAGGAGAATGAATGCTGAACTATTAATCTGGATCAGCAATGTAGCTGTAAAATTTTTTATAAATCGGCACATTATTAATTCAAACTAGACCTCACTTAAAATTGATATCATTTAGTATACTATATAATGTTAAGAAAGACAAAGAATGCAGTTCTGTGTCAGCTAAAGAAAAAGGCCTCCTACAAAAAGGAGATTAATATATTAGTTAAAAACCTGTTTTCAAACATAGAAGAGAAGATCAAAGTACCATGTGCAGTGGAGGTAGGATAGTCCTTTCCATTTTACCAAATAATGTTTTGTTAAAGCTTGAGTTGAGCCTAGCTTAGACACATCAGTATCATCTGCAGCACATGGCCGCACCTCAGAGTCTAGTATCTTTTCAATATCGTTCAGGTAGCCAACCTGTTAAATCACGTCAACAAAGCAATATCTTAAAACTCAAATCTCATCCATCAACATTCAGATATTAACAGAGTGTAGAATAACATACACATGCAGGGCATTTCCAGTTGCGAGGAACAGGACCTCTCATAGCAGGTAGTAAGCACTTCGGATGATAAGAATAATTACACGTCTCACAGCTCAAAAGATCATCATCACTATTTCCACAAGCTTGGCATGAACCTTCTTTCTGTCAGATAATTTTACCATCGAATGAAACTTTTCATGTACAAATAAAATAGTCACTTACAAATTTCTCATCCTCTAAGAAGGCAAGTACCAATAGATTCTAACATACATGTATATAAAAGTCAATCATCGTGTCATATATCCTTAGGCATTCCACCTGAACTGCTTACATATTTCTTGACAAAGAAAAAATTTGTATTTCATGGAGCGCACAAAATAGATTTTCATAGTAATTCAAGTCAGATTAGTATATATAGATTTCATTGGTCTGTTAGTTTTGGGTTACATCAGCTAAAAAAAGGAAAGTTCGTTAGAAAATATATAGGTTTTAGCTAATGTACGCTGGAATTTCTCACTATATACTCGAATCCACACAACGCCAAAAGGCATCAACAAGAACACTGAAGGCAACAATACAATTACACACATCTAGGTATCCTTCTCAGTGCTAAATTCTGGTTGTTCCTCAGTCATGTGACGTATATTTGTTAGCAAAAAAAGGTTACAAGGACCCACTTTTTCAGCCTTCTAGAAAATGCTTAGTCCTTTAGAATGTATGAATCAAACTGAAATGGAATAGCATCAAAATAACTAACCAACTTGTATCAACAGTCGGGCAAAGCAAGGATGACTGTATAGGTATCAACATGGATGGATTTACGGAAAGAAAAAGACACAAACAGCAAAGAAAAGCATAAAGAATTGCACGTAGCTGCCAACACTCCCATAAAAAACCATTGAAACAAAATGGATAAGCACCTACAGATACCCACTTGAAGAAAGTACAAAAAGACAGGCAAATAAACAAATAAATAAGCGAAAACAGTTGAAGTAAACACGAAACGAAGCTTTACCGCATCGGTTCGTTCAATTTTCTCAAAGCTCTCCGAAGAAGGACCCGCCCGGGGTTTCTTCTTTACGATATCGCCCTCATCATCCGATTCATCTAAGTTGTAAATTGGCCTTCGATCAGACCTAACCCGCAATCGCTCCACTAAACTTGCCATTTCCTACTCAAAGCAACAAATCAAGAAAAAATAATAATAATACACAAATCAACTAAAAATCAAGCGGGAAAAAACAAGGGTTTCCTATAAATGACGATCTTGTATGATAGAACTAATGCTACATTAAAATATAGTACCGTGGACAGCATCTAGCTTACCAGGCAAAAGACCTAGAGAGAGAGATGGCTATCGCGCAGATTCAGGGAGCGAAGGTAAATGGATGCATCGGGCGGAGTGGTAGAGCTGTAAAAAATGGAATGCTTTATATAGTGCCCCGCGCCGCCCCATTTAAGGGTAAATTGGCTTAACGTTTACCTGTCCGAACAGGCTGCGGGCTTGGGCTAAGCTAAGTAGGCCCGGATTTCTATGTTTTTTTTTAAGCGGGCTCGGGTGAATTTGAAATACAATATTAATTTAAATTTAATATTAAAATAATATTTTATAAAAATATATATATTTAAAAAAGAAATAAAAAATTCAGATAGTAAAATTTAAAAAAAAAAAACTCCAATGATTTAGAACTGAATTTGATAATAATAAATCGGTATAAATTAAAAAATAAATTATTAAAATATTATATATAGTTTAATATTATTATTATTTACGTCTCAAGTAATTTTTGGATTGGTCACCATATATACATAGGCAAATAGTTTATTTCAATCAATATATAAAATACTAATATATAATATTTTATTTATCACATTTATCTTTTACGTCATTATATTTAATATTAAAAATATTTTTATATTTTTGTAATTTTTTTTTGTACAAATGTCCCTATTGTATTATAACATGCCAGTGGAAGTATTTTTATAATTTTTTCTTAATTTGTATTACGTTTTGATATAATAATTAATATTTAAATATCAACACAGAAAAAAAAAAAAAAAACTCTTAGAGTCGGACGAATGTAGTATATGTTTTTAAATAAAGTATTTAAAAACATGACTTGTTTGTTCATATATTCTATACTGGTCGGATGATCATATGTGATGTGTAAAATATGATATAGGTGAATATATATATTTATTTGTATTATATTAATATAATATCGGTCTATCATTTGGTGAAAATATATTAAGTCGGCTACTAAGGACATACAGTTTGACCTGCATAATACAGGTTGTGTTTCTATTGTTGGGTTCGGTGGTTTGGCACTATTTTGCTCAACTTGAGCGTAAAATCAAATTCTAATTAACAATTTATGCATGAGGTGGGGTAAGTCACTATACGTTAGCTCTTAACGGGTTTTATTTGTTTTTTCTTTTTAATTAAAAAAAAAACGAAATATTTGCATAACAGTGAAAACTACAAAAAATTAATTATCAAGTTATTTTAATAACTACAATTTAATAAAATAGATACGATATAGATATAATTTTGTAAAAAATAAATATTTATATAATATAAATAAATAAAAAAAACACTTTAATTGTATGTAATGATCTTGATAAAATTGAAATTGATGGATACATTCAAAAGGTTGCTTGTAGAAGTCAATAATATGGCTTGACAAAATAAATAAGTTGTCATTTCCTTTAACTCATCTAATACACTAATTTGTATCAGGTTTAGATATTCCAATGAGAAAACAAGGGGAGCTATTATCACGAGTATCATGGTGCATAAGTATCCATTTAATATTATAGGTGATGATGTTTTAATATGATCATTTCAATGTATTAATTCTGAATTATAGATATTCTCTTACGACAGTGAGAAGTGATTGTTTAGCCATATTTGATGAAAAAAAAAATTGAAAGAATTATTAAAGAGTGACCAAGATCAACTTGACAATAACGTTGAAGAGACGAAATTTGATTTTAATATTTGGTTTGAACAAATTCGGTTATTATTGTTTATTCACAAATAAAGTTGTTGTCTCTTTCAAAATTCAAAATCTATTGGAACTAGTATCTTATTTGATGATAATAATCGTCATTTTCTTAATTATGTGGCTTCACATCATGAATTAACTATTAAACATATTTGTATAGCTTCCATGATTGTGGATCCGTTTAATTACTAAAGCGTTGTCACATAAGTTCTATAGTGAGCATGTTGCTCGTTTGAGAGTGAAACCATATTTCGATACTTCGGTTTAGTGGGAGCTGATTAGTAGTGTTCAAATGCTAATAAAGTTACTTTATTTTATACTGCAGTATTTTGTATGCATTGTTCAGTAGTCAGTTTTAATTCAGTTGTTCTAAATTGAAATTAAGGTGGATCAGTTGGAATTGGCATGTTAAAATCACGCTACATGAAATTTCCTCAAGGGTGTGTTTGTTTGAGGGATTTGTTTGGATTTCTACTATTCATCCTATTTTTTCCCCCAAAAACATCAAATCAAACACCTATTTTTCATTTTTTATATTATACTAAAAATCAATTTTACATTCAAAATATCACATCAACACCTATTTATATCACATCATACGACTTTTCAAATTCAAAATTTTTACTATTCAAATCCCAATTCAAAATCCAAACCCCCAAACAAACACACACTGATTGGTCTCATTGCGATAAATGCAGTGATATTCGCATTGATATGATTTATTGAGAATATTTGTAAAATACATTAAAGGATCTGATAGTAAAATTTTCATGAGCTCGTAAAGTTATTCAATATACATTTACCTAAATGGGAGATTACTGGATTAAAAATCAATTGTGGGTTAAATGTAACTATTTGCACTATTAGTCAGGTTAAGTCTATATTAAGTGATTTATTAAGTTTATTGGGTTTTAATGTATTTAGTAAATGTGGGCATCCTATGTGCATAAATTCGATAACTTACTAATTGGGTTATGAGACCAATTAACAATAAGAGATATATATTAGGGTGTGATCTCAGGTATAGCGTAGCATCCATTACTTTTCATATCTCATCGTGGAAGTAACGGCAGAAACTTTAAAAATTTTCTCATCAGGAGTCGCATCATAGGCTTGAAAAATACAAAACCCTTCATTAATTGCATATCCGAATTTAACTGTGTTTATGAAATCAAATTAGATTTATTAGCTTTATTTTTCAAAAAATTGTTTCAACAATAATAATCATGAATAAATAAGCAAACGTCGAGGTGCAATCTATTCCAATTGCATGAATATAAATTTATGATTGCATACACACGTGTTTAGTTATGCTGGAATCTGATTTCCATGCAATAATTCAAACTATACAATCAAACTAATGTTGATCTAATTAGATAGCCAAAATCGGGCATAAAAATAATCAAGATTCATTAATTAATCAATATATGTGTATATTCTAAAGAATCCACACGCACGTCTACAAACAATCGCATGGATTTACGTGACTGCATATTGAATAATTAAATCCCTAATCTCGATTCAACCGTCATCCATAATAGATAACACTAATCTTATTATAATTTAATTTCTACTAATTAACTAATTTTGATCATTTGATCAAATTGTTATACCCAAGAATTCGGTCACATTAATTGGTCCAAAATAGAAAATCAGGATGTTTTCATGCGCAAATCAATTCCATTAGAATTAAATATAATTGATCTAACCAAATAACCTAATAATTCAATGCGTACCCTCGGTTTGATACCAATTTTGGAACTTATTTAAATAATCAAGTAGTCCAAGAAATAACTAAATGCAACGGAATTATATACAAAATATGTCACCCAAAGAAACTATAAATCAATAAATTAAGCAATTATAGTCGAATTTAAACAAATGCATATTGTCGAAAATATATACTACTGTATCCCAAATTTAATTGGATCTTAAAATAGAATATAATAAATCTGATTTCTATAAAATTAGCAATAATGAATAAATAAATAAACATGTCTTCATTGATGAATAAAGATTCCAATTGCACATATGACATGTACAAAGGCACACATATCAATATGTGATCCTATTTATGCAATTATATATATATATATGCATATATGTATGTGATTTCATCTTCATGCATACATCAATCAACTATTATATTAAACAATTAAGTAATCTAGATAGATATTAAAATTGGTGCAAATTGCACACATAATCATCAAATGTGCAGATAGTCAAACGAGTGGATATTCTATACTTGAACTTCAATTGACCAATTTCACACCACCATTTATCCAAATATATATATTACTGCATACGGAGATATGCAGAACTTACATCAAGAATACACATATTGATATTGATCGAATGCATTATATATATGATGATGGGTGGTGATACAAACAAATGAAAAATTACTTTCAGATCATATATTTCCAAATAACAAAATTATTAGACCAAACAAAATAAATAAACAAATAGACGGTATGAATTTATATCTTATTTGAATACCATATGTGCACACATATGTTTCCACACATATCTATTCACAATGAAATTAATTGGTTTAATTAAACACCCTAATTGATGCAAGCAAAATTAGAAGTAATGAAATCAAATATCAATTAATTTGTTTTGTACCATATTTCCATTTAACATTTCAAACCAAACAATTATGAATCCGATCACGTGACCACAGCCTCAACGAAAATTCTCAAACCTCAATGTTTATCATTTTATATTAATTGATAACTTTTAATATAATTTTCCAAAATAAAGGAAGGCTACAATTGGAAATTACACTACAATACTATCTTCAATCAAATCTGATTCGTACCAATGGTATCAATCGAAATCAAAATTTCTTTACGTAGACACGTAATTGGAATTTGCGCACGAGATCGAGGAAATTTTTTTAAAAAATTGGTTTTATTCACAACTTAAACCTAATTAGAATTAGTTGCAAGTTCAATATATACGAATCCAATTCCATAAAAATAAAGAATGTGCATAAAAACTGAATGCACATGTTTATAAACAATTGAAGACTCTGTATGTGAATTTATAAAATAAACTAGTAATCATATCATAAGTTATCGAGCAACATCATCAACTGTCTTTGGATAAATTACTGATTCGCCAGTGATAAACTTGTTTCGACAATTAAATATTGACAATAAAATAGTGTCAAACAATATTCTATCTTTAAATAAATCTATTATTCACACACAAATAACTAAATTATTATCACCACATTAATGTAACAACTTAATCGTTGACTAGACTTTCTTTTGGGATAATCAACAACCGTATAAGTCACATACACAACCTTCTAATATATAAAGTAAATTGATTTACACAGTAGAGACTACTTTGACAGCATAACTATTTCAACCAATTTATTAAATATATTGTACTCCCTCCGTCCACAA